TCAAACGGGCTTTTGCGAGCAACTTTTTCGAACTTCTGCGACAACGGTTGCGCACCTGCCAGGGCCATCATCCCTGTCAAATAATACCATGCGGGACACATTCGTTTTTTCTTCGCGCGCGCACGCCGAAATCTGCAAAAACCATTGGGTTCTTAAGAATTTTAGCACCGCGCATCATAAAATCACACGAATCGTCTGCTTAAGTGTATTCCCATCATCCCAGGAACTTGACCCAAAAATGTGACCAACTCCGCTCTCTCTGTCTCTCTCTCTGTCTGCTCTCTGTCTCTCTCTCTGTCTCTCTGTATTATGTATTGTATGGCACAATTGCACCATGCTGGGCACATGCGCGCCCCGAATAAGTGACCAAGTTCTGTGGGTGTGTACCCCACGCCAGTGTAGTAGCCACGGTCGTCCGCACGCCACGAAGTGAAGTGTCCCAACGTCATAGGGCGGGAAGCTGGGTTTGGGTGGTCGCGAAGAGTCGTTTGGATATTTGGTAGAGCTTGTAATGCCCCCCCACGAAGTGGGGGTATTGCCTGGTGTCGTATGAAAACCCTGGCACTGGGGAGAACACCACGCGTTCGGGTAAAATGATTGTTGTTGTTGTTGTTGTTGTTGTTGGTGTCGTTGTCGTTGTTGTGTCTGTTGTTGGTGATGATCATGATGAGGATGGTGCTTCTGCTGACGCTGCTGCTGGTGAGTAATCTAATGATGGTAGTAATGCTGACGATAATGGTAGTAATGCTGACGGTGATGATGCTGATGAAGCTGACGACGACGATTATCTTAATAATGATGACGACGACGATGCTGATGCTGAAACTGATAATGATGATGATGATGCTGATGCTGATGCTGATGACGATGATGGCGATGCTGCTGCTGCTAAGGATACTGACCATGACAATGATAGTAATGATAATGAGGATGATGCTGATGCTGATGATGATGCTGACGATCATGATGACGAGGATGATGGTGATGAAGCCAAATTCGATGGTGTTGACGATGATTGTGCTGGTGATGATGGTGGTTGTGATGGTGATGCTGATGAGGATGACGATGTTGATAATGATGAACATGATGATGATGATGGTGTTGATGCTGATGATGAGGATGGGCATGATGCTGCTGATGATGATGATGCTGCTGATGATGATGATGCTGCTGATGATGATGATGATGAGGATGATGATGATGATCAGGATGCTGACGATGTTGAGGATGATGATTCTGCTGACAATGGTGATGATGCTGCTGATGCTGATGGTGCTGATGCTGATGCTGATGATGGCGATGATGCTGATGCTGCTGCTGATGATGATGCTGCTGATGATGGTGATGATGAGGCTGTCTGCTGATGGTGATGATGATTCATGATAGTGACGGCGACGATGACGATGACGACGACGAAGACGAAGATGCAGATGATGATGGTGATGATGCTGGTGATGTCATGATGCTATGTCGATGGTGCTGTTGATGATGATACTTCTGGTGATGCTCATGCTCATTTTCATGCTCATGCTCACGCTCATGGCCATGATGATGCTGATGATGATGCTGCTGCTGATAATGATGATCATGATGATACTGCTGCTGATGATCATGATGATGATGGTGATGATGATGATGATGATCATGATCATGATGATGATCATGATGATGATGATGATGATGATGACGATGATGATGATGATGATGATGATGATGATGATGATGATGATGATGATGATGATGATGATGATGATAATGACGACGATGTTGATGACGATGATGATGATGCCGACGATGTTGTTGATGATGGTGGTGGTGATGCTGATGATGCTGATGATGATGCTGATGATGATGAGGAGGAGGATGAGGATGAGGATGAACGAATGTGTGTGTGTGTGTGTGTGTGTGTGTGTGCCCTCCATGTGCTGGACGCATGGAGGTGCGCAGCACCCCCGAGAGCGGGGTCGGCGCATTACGCTTACCGGTGGGGAGACATGTACCTCGGCCCTGTTCTGCGGACCCCCGCCCGCGCAGAGCGCATCCCAGCTGGCCTGCTGCTGCACCACAGTCAACCCGCATAGCAAGGATGGGCAACCCTCCTAAGGATACCCTCGCGTCCTTGCCTCCTAGGCCCGTCCTTGGCCACTTTCGTTGTCCGCGCCCCGCTCGAAAAGTTTCGAAATGGGCGTCCAAGGCCCTTGCATACTTATCGCGCATCCTTCCTGTACTGGTTGACTGTATCTTTTCTCACCTGTTCTCCTTTCCTCGTCCTTCCTCTCCCCCTCTGCATCTCCCTGATCGCTGGGAGGCTGCATCTCAGCTTCTGTTGCAACGCAGGGAATCGAAACGATGGTGTGGTATGCGAATGTTTGCCTTAATTGGTCTGCGAAGCAGCATTGCAGGTACGGCGGTTGGAGACA